ATATATTTTACCTGCTTTAACTTCTCAATAACTCTCATTTCATTTTCTTAGCTAATAAACCTTTAGTTAGTTTACTATAGAATTGGCTACCAGCGTTGTCTTTTGTGTAAGATCTGGAGTACCGATTGATCTGGGGTAAGTGACTGGTCTCTTAGGACTGGGAACACCCTGATGTGATGTGATTTTTGGCTTAAGTGAGCTTTTATCATAAAGTCCAGTTTGTCTGGGTGGCAAGAGCGTCTAAGGGGGACTGTCTGTGACTCCGTGGTAAGACTGGTATAATGATCCAGGAGTTCACATTTGGTACTGGTTGGGTGAAATCTAATTGTAGAACACACCATCAGTTTGGGGGTGTCTGCCCTGTTTTCTGACGGTCTGCCCTGAGGTAGGCACTCACAGTTGTGAGCTACTCCAGACAGTGTGACAGTAGCTACCAAGCCAAGGTACAAAATTCAGTTTTGCTTTCTGCCAGTGTCCTATTGTCATTGAGCACCAGCATGGCCTAAACCAGGGATAGGCAACCTATGGCATGCGTGCCAAAGGTGGCACATGAGCTGATTTTCTGTGGCACTCACACTGCCCGGGTCCTGGCCACCGGTCCGGGGGGCTCTGCATTTTAATTTAATTTTCAATGAAGCTTCTTAAATATTTTAAAAAACTTTATTTACTTTACATACAACAATAGTTTAGTTATATAGTATAGACTTCTAGAAAGAGACCTTCTAAAAACGATAAGATGTATGACTGGCACGCCAAACCTTAAATCAGAGTGAATAAATGAAGACTCGGCACACCGCTTCTGAAAGGTTGCCGACCCCTGGTCTAAACCCTGCACTTTGTTGACATGGTGTCATGGCTGCAAACTCCACACGCATACTCATTTCAAAACAGGTCTTATTTTTTAGGCTGCATGCCTAAGGCTGAATCCTGCTAGTCTTAATTAGATGAATAGTCCCATTGATTTAACAGGACTACTCATGTAAAACAGGCAGGATTTGGCCTTTAAAATGTATGTTCATTCAGCTACACATTTATTGTTGGATATATTCGATCTGTACGATATACAAATCGGTGAGGATTTGCATCTCTCAGCGTAACAGGTTAGTATCTTTTCTTAGTCATTAATTGCTGGACACCAGATGCTAAGAGTTGATGTTTCATATATAGTGTATCACAGATTCAAATATGTACATTTATGTAATGTATTTGTACCAATTCTTGACTTTTTCCTCACTCCCTTTTAAGGTATCATCTTTTGGGGCCCAATCTAGGCCCTAATCTTGCTCAATTAAAGACATTAGGAATCTTGTCATTGACTTCAATGAGCGTAGGATCAATTTCTTAGTACCTATAGAACAGAAGACTAGAAGAGACAGGGCAGGTGCAAGGATGTTTCACACCCTAAGTGAAACTTCCACCTTGTGCTGCCCCCCTCCCCGAGCCCTGTGGCAGCTCTCCGCCCCCCCCGCCCTAAGGTGCCCCCCCCGTGGCAGCTCCCTTCCGCCCTGAGGTGTCCCCCCCGCAGCAGCTTCCCCCTCTGCCCTGAGGCACCCCTCCCGCTGCATCTCCCCCCGGCCCGGGGAGCCATGCGGCAGCTCCCCGCCCCAGCTCACCTCTGCTCCGCCTCCTCCCCGCGCATGTCGTCGCCGCTCCACTTCTCCCGCCTCCCAGGCTTGCGGCGCCTATCAGCTGTTTGGCGGCGCAAGCCTGGGAGGGAGAGAAGCAGAGTGGGGTGGGCGTGCTCAGGGGAGGAGGCAGAGCAGAAGTGAGCTGGGGCGGGGAGTTCCCCTGCATACCCCTCCCCCCCTTACTTGCTGCAGGCAGCCCTCCCCGCGCCCCCCTGCCCCAGCTCCCTCCGCCTAAATGCCAGTGACGACCGGGGCAGTCGAAGATCCGGCCGCCACGATCGCCCCCGAAGGACCCGAGATGCCGTCCCCCAAATGCTAGCGCCCTATGGGTTGCACCGGCCCTGGGAAGGGACCACCTCAGTTATTGAATCCAGTCTGCTGCTACTGCAGGCAATGGGAGTTTTTACATTGATTTTATTGGGCATTGGCTCAGGCCCTTTGTTTGATTCTATTTAACAATAAATAAATAAAAGCTCTTTAAACTAAAAACAAGTGTTTATAAAATCTTGCAGATCTTCAGGCTTCTGTTTATTGTGGCTAAAAATTACCGCACAGAGAAATGGTGTAGACCAATCATTTGGAATAAAGTGCACGGCCAGTTTCATTTTTTATTATATATACTGACTTACGGAACATCTACTGTCCTAGAAGCTGGGATTTTATTTATTATTATTTATTATATGACTATTAGGGACTTGCGTGAAAATACACAGCCTACCAATAAATCTAATGTGATAACTATAAGAGAGAGATTTTTATGCTGTGTTCAACATTTTTCATTCTATAAAATGCCTTATGTATTTTACTACTGTCGCATATTTTGCTTAAAACAGTTGTGTGTGTGTGTGTGTGTGTGTGTGTGTTTTCCCCCCTCTGGAAAAAATAATATATATATTTTACACTTTGAGTGCTCAAATGGAAGAGTACATTTCCTTTTTCGTATTGTAGATATCTAGTTTTCTGTCCTTTAAGATTGTTCTACATACCAATTTGACAGCAGAGATCAGACACATCTCCAGCTGGGTTTGAAATACTTGTGAAAGCAACACACACACACACAAAAGGGACACTGGTAAGCCAATCTAATTAAAAAAAAAACAGTTTAATTTTTTTATACTCTCCATGTGTGAAAACCTACTCAGAAGCTTAATTATAATATTCCCAGCTCCGCTGATTTTTGGTGGCTTTCTGTTTAGCAAACTCTGGGCTAGATCCTGTTCATTTTACACACGCAAGTGGAGAAATTCCATTCACTTCAATGGGATGTGTTTGCGTGAGTGAGCAGAGCAGGATTTAGCCCACTGATATTTGCTGGTGCATGTTTATAGAGAATGCCTGTCTGCTTTGTGCACTGCTGTCTTCATGCGTTAACTAGAGATGGGTCAAAACTGCAAAGTTCGGCTATAGGTTCACTTTCCCTAAATGTAGGGGTGTTCAGATCAGTGATTTTTGGTTCAGTTGATATTAGAAATAAGGGACAGGCACTAAAGGCCTGATTCTGATCTGATCACTCACTTTGACTGTTCCCTTAGGGGTAGTCCTGTTAAAGTCAGTGCCTATGTGTCTCTCCTACACAGTCCCCAATAAGGGGTGATTCATGGGTAGGATGGTTGTGGCCAGAACCATGCTGTAGGGTAGAGCAGTCCCTGGAGATGCTGTCCCTATGCCTCCTAACAAGCACAGCACAGATTCCTGGCACTTCATCTTTTATGCAGTTCACTGAATGGCAACGTCTTAATATGACAAGCTCCTTGGAGCAGCCTTGTGGTGTAGTTAAAATGCACCAGAGCATATTTTTCCCATTGTGGACATTGTTTTTTTTTTTAATTTGCTGGCACGTCATGAGAACTTAATAATCAAACATATTGTCACTGAGTACTAGTGGACAATGGGGAGGGAATTTCTTGGCAGTTAATTGGGGAGCTAATTCATCTTGGCCCAGCTGGTCATTAGCTGCTAGGAAATGTCCATGCTTCAGTTCATTACTGCTACTGACTTGTGTGCCTGCTTTCCCCCCCCCCCCCCCCCCCCCCCCCAGCTTTTCTGTGAGTAGGAGAACAGAACAATTCTCCAGGGCTTGTCGTCGTAAAGTTCTCCGCTTTTTTGATGTATCTGATGTACTATTTTGTACAGTATTCTTCTACTTTTCACTTTCTTTTTATTTAACCAGGCCTTTGATACTATGCACCCGCCGACACTTACGTGTGTACCTTGTATTCTTTTCAGACAAAGCCCCAGAACTGCTTTGATGGCAAATACTTTATGATTCTCTGCCTCATCTTTGTGTCGAGCTAACTCATTAAAAAAAATCTTTTATATGGCATTGCTAATGGACAGGGTGCTTTACAAACATAGATAAGACCCATCCAATGCCTTGAAGACCCTGTAATCTAAATAAGACAAGACAAACACAAGCGAGGCACTTGTCAACAGCACAGGAGATTAAGAGTGTGGAGGTAATTAATGATGAGAAGGGGAGAGGGATTGTTTAAATAAAATAAATATATGGAGATATACCTATCTCATAGAGCTGGAAGGGATCCTGAAAGGTCATCGAGTCGAGTCCAGTCCCTGGCCTTCACTAGCAGGACCAAGTATTGATTTTTGCCACAGATCCCTAAATGGCCCCCTCAAGGATTGAACTCACAACGCTGGGTTTAGCAGGCCAATGCTCAAACCACTGAACTATCCCTCCCCCCAGTGGTGGTACTGGGGAGGGGTTGGAAGTCGGGAAGAGAGGGTGCTTGGCAGATAGTGAGAAGGAAATCCTTCCATGCACAGTGAGGGACTTGACAGGAGGCATGAAGATGAGTGCGGGGGGGGGGGGGGGAAGAGATGAAGGGGAGAGTAGAAGTGAGAGGAAATGGAGGATGAGTAGGGAGAAAGGAGAGCAAGGCAACATTATCTAGAGCTTCACAGATGAAGGCAACGAGCTTGAATCTGATGTGATAAGAGACAGGAAGCCAGTGGAAGTATTTAAGCAGGAGAGTGACGTTTAGATGTATTTGTAGATCTTTGTCTATATGATCCACCTGTCTAGTCTATCTAGTAAACTTGTCATTCTCTTTATGCATTTATAAGGGCTGGCTAATTGATGGAGGGAGACAGATAGAAAAACCAAGCACTGTTATGATGAACTAATCTGAATTAAATATAACATGTGAAGTGCAAGTCATGTGCCTGGTCCTGCAGGGGGCGCTTGGTGCCTTCCCCTCTGAGGGCTCCAGTGAGAATCAAAGTGGCTCAGAGTCTTGCAGAACTGTGCGCACTCTCACCACAGTAAACTGCTACATTTCCCCTGCGTTGATTCTCTTTTGGCACCATGACAGTAATACCCCTCCCACTCAACACTTCTACCTCTCTGATTATTAGGCCACCACCAAGTCAAGCAAGGGACGTGTGAAGTCGTCGCAGTGCATCGTTGCTGCAATAAGAACCGAATTGAAGAACGGTCGCAAACAGTCAAGTGCTCTTGCTTCCCGGGGCAGGTGGCTGGAACAACAAGGGCACAGCCCTCTTGCGTCGAAGGTAAGCAATCTCCCACTCGCTCCTACTGCTCTTTGGCTCTCTGAGACGTTTAGTCTCCTTGATTGTTTGACTTCCTGCTGTCTAGAAAGCATAATCCTTCCTTTTGTTAATTTTGGAAACATCTCTGTTCGTTGATGATAATGAGTGTGCATAAATCTTGGTGTAATTAATCCCCTTAATATATGTTCTTGTTCATTTCATGTCTGTGCCAATAAAACTTCTTAGTTTTTCCATATTAAAAATTGTACTTTAAACTAGCCTCAAAACTACACAAGCCAAGACATTGTGAGTTTAATCATTAATCCATCCAGTTGCCTCTAGATATAGCAGCATGGCCATGGAATCATTGGGACATAAAGAAACCACTGACTGGTCATCGATTCAGTACTTCGTAGCCATGGGCAAGCAGATTAGTACTGAGACATCTGGTTTGTGTGAACTCTCCTCTAGGCTGGCATAATCCAGCACCCTATATTGATAATGAGCTTCTGCACTGGACCCCCATGTGTCTCCTCTGCCCTACATCCATTCAGCTTTGTGTGTATTCTAACCCAAATGAGATGGCATGTGAAGAATCCCAAGGGAGTTGATTATGTACCATTGAATTGGTGCCACAAACAATAGGTGGCACTGTTATGATGTTCTGATAAATGCAAAAGCATAGTACAAACTGATCTAGTCCATCACCCTTGCCTTCGGGTTAGTTTGAAGAGCTTTACAACCCATAGGCACAAGGCACAGTTTAAAGATCGATTTGCAGTCTTCAGTTTGTTGGCACTGGTAAATAGCGCTTTTTATAACACTTGACTGATATAAATTAAAAAGTTATAAACTAAGAAATTTTCTCTTTGAGTTGAGATTTTATAATGCAGCCAGATCTTATAATGAATTTGTGTAGCTGAAATATCTACCCCCAAAGACTCAAATCTCTCTAAATATTTCATTGTTTGTCTCCGAACACATATGCTGCTTCTGGCCATGGGATGTTTTTATGTTAGGAAATGGCTAATATAAGTCTTCATTAGCTTATTTGTCAGTAAGAATTAAAAGGATCTTTACATATAAAAGTCTGTGAAATTTACATTTAAATTGAAATAAAGCAGAAAATTTTTAGTAGCTTACTGCTAATTAATATTGACACAGAAATCACTGCCCTACATTTTTGTTAATCCACAAGTAAGATACTTATCTTTTGTTTTCATTGCTTTTCTCACAAAATCATGACCTTTAAAAGTTAAATATAAAATACCCTCGGTTTCTCTGACTTTCTATAATGTTTCACTGTAGGAAAAATCCTACAAATAAATGTAACTGTCTGATTTTAGTACTTACTTTACCTATTTATATGTTTTCTATTTCTGAGACCCTGTTATTTTATTTAGGAATTAGATTTGGCTTGATGTCTGAAATATCTTGTAATGCAGGGGCACAATTCAACCTTAATTTTTCAGTTTACTGAATAATTTTTCCTGTAGAATCATATGCAGTACCTGTACCTTTTATGTAACATATCATGCCACAGTTTTACTGTTCTTTATGGTGGATAATAAAGTCTAGACATTTATTAAAATATACTTTAGTATTACAAAGGTAACACTCTATGCTTTCACGACAGAATGAAGTGCACGGTGCAGTGAAAGTCTAATTTATTTTGTCAAAGCAAACACTTGCTGAAACAATTTAATGGCTTCTTTTCCTTCAAGTGTGCTTGAGATTAAATAAGACAAAACATTTAGAATGCAAGATTTTTAGTTATAAAAGCAGAAGCTCTTGATTTTTTTCCCCTTAAGGTGATGTTTTAATATACTTTATGTATTTCTGTAAGCATTTAGATCTGGACTCAATGACATTTTATTCCTCTGCTGTTGCACAGAAGCCATAACTATCTGTTCACAAGCTCAAAATTGGATTTTTCACTATATACACAGACTTCTGTAAGCCTCAACAGTGCAAAAGTCAGAAAGAGATAATATTCAACATGGCCCGACTTGTATAACTAATTATTTTAAATATAATGAAAGAGATTCATTATTCTTTTCCCAGAGATTTTACCAAGGTCAAGAAGATTTAATTGGACCACATTCCGCACATTCGTAACATGAGAGTTAAAGGTCTTGTTGAAAGCGCAGTATTACTGGTTACATTCTAACTGAAACAAAGTGTACTTTAGAGCGCTTATTTTGAGTGGCTTTTTAAGGTATCTTCTTTTAAGCTTAGCTAATATTATTTATATTCAGGTAGCACACTTCCCTTTGTGTCAAGCATTCCGCATACACTGTGTAATAATAATACTGAAAAGACAGTCCTTGCCCCCAAATTCTTTACAATCTATACAGCCATAGTAGGAGAAAAGTGAAATACAAAAGACTTTACACACAATTTCACAATGGGATCCTGGTCCAGGACTAGGTCTCTGTATTATGCCAGAACATGGAACCCTTGTTCAACTTGTTGAATACTACCCACATGATTAGTCCTATTGAGTTCAGTGGCGCTACTCACATCAGTTCATATACCATTACGTAAACAAGGGTGATACAAATGATATTAGTTCAGGAAGAATTATGATGCCAGAATGGAAAAATCATTAAGGAAGAATAGGCAGCCCTTGGTAAAAATACCTTTAATAATAATAATCCCTCTCTCTTATCTAGCGCTTTTCGTCTATAGATCTCAAAGCACTTTACAAAGGAGGTCAGCATCATTATCCCCATTTTACAGATGGGGATGCCGAGACCTAGGGAGGTGAAGTGATTTGTCCAGGGTCACCCAGCAAAACAGTGTCAGAGCCAGGAATAGAACCCAGTTCTCCTGAGTCCCAGTCTATACTTAGCAGTCTTTATAATGGACATAATTTCACGCAGACTTCCCTAGGGCCAGGTACCCCAGGCTTCCAGAGTCTGTTGCTCTGGTGAAGGTCTGCCATGTGTATCCCAGGGTTTCTATTTCTGTGGTGTTGGGATTTCTCTCAGGTTCCCAAGAACTCAACTCGACTCCGGACTCATCATCAAGTTTCATTGTTGGCATACAATCAAACTACACAGAGCTGATCAGACTCACGGGTAGGGGTGGGTACAGGGCATACCACAAATCCAAAGAGTACAAATATTGGTTACTTTATATGCAAATGAAACCCCATACTGACACGTGTCTTCTATTCTACATCATATAGTGAACTTTATGATTGGCCAGGTGATTTTCAGGATCAATTCCTGTACCTATTATTCCTTGTTCACATGCCACACATACACAGCCTGTTTTGTTAGTTCCCTCCTTGTATTTTGTTAGTTTCCACCTTGTGTGCTTATCTTCCTTCTACGTATTTGTAGCCATTGCTTCTGACACAATTATTTCTTGCCCCTGTTTTTACATAGCTTCTCTCTTTCCCTGCCCTTGGCTACTGGAGCCCACTCCTACCAAGTAAGGCCTACACATGGCTCTGGGACAGTCCTGCCATGCCAGGGCTTGTGGGGTTTCCAGGTTGCCAGCTGTGGAACCAGGACCCTGTAGGTCGTGAAGTGTGTTTCCAGGGTCTGTGGTTGCAGGCCAGTCTTGCCATGTGGACTGCCCTAGGATGGGGACCGCAGGGCTTCCAGACTACTCGGCCAGTTGCTACCAATTTCTGAGCTGACCTGGGAGTCTGGAAGCCCTGGGGGTCTTTGGCCTCAGAGCCACAGACCCAGGGCAGCTGCTGGCTGAAATTAACATTCTTGTCAGTTGCACAGCTGCTAGCAGCAATGAGACTTTAAGGAGGAAGGCTAGCTTAGTGGGGGGATAGCTCAGTGGTTTGAGTATTGGCCTGCTAAACCCAGGGTTGTGAGTTCAATCCTTGAGGGGGACATTTAGGGATCTGGGGCAAAAATTTGTCTGGGGATTGGTCCTGCATGGAGCAGGGGGTTGGACTAGATGATCTCCTGAGGTCCCCTCCAACCCTGATATTCTATGATTCTTGACTTTTCAGCAAATTGGGAAATTTTCCTGGGTGGAATTTTGTTTGTTTGTTTGGTCTTTCTCATGTTTCATTAACTTGTTTCTTGACCCAGCTCCCATTGAAGTAAATGGGAGCCTTTTCATTGACTTCAATGAGATATGGATTGGGCTCTACGTGACCTTTGTTGCTAAGTACTGTGTGTTATGGCTTTTGGTGTAAGTAGGCCATGAAATAGGTATTTTAAAAAATAATCATTATGGCATTTAGAGTAGAATCATAGCTCAGCTGGGTAATTTGGATTTTAAAATAGCTTGGACCGATGTTAAAGAATATTCCAGAAGGTCGAATTAAAACAGCAGTCTTATTACAGCAATACTGTGTGTTAAAACAGAGTACAATGTAGTGAACGAATGGGTCAGACTTCAAAATACTTTCAAACAAACATGGTGACATGTAGGGCCAAATTTTCAGTGAGGCCTCAGGTTTGTGCTAATTTATAATGGGCATGCGTGCCTGTAAATATGGGGTTATGCGGTCAGGTGAGTGCCCATGCGCATTTTGTGTCGACCTGGAGACTGCATGGGCACTCTAGCAAACAATATCACTGCAGAGTTAGGCATGGAAACTTGGTACTTCACTGGTCAATGAGGGTGGCAGTCACCGTATCTGCATAAATATAGAAATGAGGTTGTGTGTGGGACACACACTGGGAGTGAGAATGCCACAATGCAGCCTGTCCACAGCAACTACCCGAACCCATAGGCCGGAATAGTGTCTACTGCTGCTCAGCATACCCTCTGTAGTGCATTAGGACCTCTGGACATACATAGTCATGGATGCTTTGGTTCTCTACTCAGCTCAGCTCTAGCTACCCATGTGCATTGGCCTGGTTTTGGCAAGCACAGAACCCCTTTTTACAGAGCCCAGGGCATGCAGAGGTCCATACATGGTCAATCCATCCATACCCCCACCCTGGGAATCAGGGGATACAGCGTGCCATAATGAAACTATGCCAACTTGCACCCGCTGGGGATCTGCCCCTAACTGTTATGTAGAAATTAAAATTAGC